TATGATAGTGTATGACACTACATGACAGTCTATGATAATGTATGACACTACATGACACTCTATGATAGTGTATGACACTACATGAATCTGTATGATAATGTATGGCACTACATGACTCTGTATGATAGTGTATGACACTACATGACACTCAATGATAATGTATGACACTACACGACACTCTATGATAGTGTATGACACTACATGACACTTTATGATAATGTATGACACTACATGACACTCTATGATAATGTATGACACTGTAGGAAAGTACATGGCTCTGTATGACACTATAACACTGTAGGATAGTGCATGGCTCTGGTTTGATACCGTATGGTACTTTATGTAAAGTATCAGCTATTCCCCAGTATTGATGTATGTTTAATAAGGTAAGTATATTAATTCACACTTTGATACTTATTGCGTTATGCCAAAAAGCACGTTCTAGATACATCGTATATTAATTTGAGACAACTGAGTCTAGTATTACGACGTATATTACAACTTTTAGATAATAGTTAAGTTTATTTAAATATAATAAAATGACATTAAAATTTATTAGTTTTCTTAATATCTTTTATTTTAATCAAATGACTTCTGCCAGAGATGGTATAATACTTTTCGTTAGTTAATACTTTTAATAAGAGATATTTCCAATCGGACGTAAACTAAGAACACTGCGTAAGTTAGTCTGTGCGACTGAATTCTGATAAAGAATTGTACTGTATCGTCTGTCTACTGTGCCGTTCAGTATTCAGGTTTTACCGGTCAATCAATATTTCCTGCATGCTAAAGGGAAGTAACTCGCTAATTTTTCATAGCAAATTCTTAGCCTCCAGTTACAAAAATGCAATACGCGCGGTATAGCAAAATCTCAATAGTTATTCTCTTTCAACTTATCAACCCCTGAGCAGAGCAAAGAAGCCGCAGATTTGGCTTATTAACCGTGATACCTATTTATACGTTATTGATAAAGTACATATGTACCGGTAAACATTTGATGTATACACACAAAACAATTTATAAAACATTCTGTAAAAACAATAAAATTCACCATGAATGTTAAATCACCAGTTTTAAAAATGATATTTTTTCATGATTTTCTATTGGAATTTATTTTTGTAATTGTATTTTTTATGAGATTATTTAAACAGCCTTGATTTGTGATAAAAGTCGTTAACGAGTAATCGGACAATCGGCTGACTGAACGTAAATGAATGTCATCTACGTCTGCGAAAATGCATGGTTTGGTTTGGTTTAGTATTGTTTAACATCCTATCAACAGCTACTGTCATTTAAGGATGGCCTCCCCTGTGTGCAAGATACATGCGTGAAGTGTATTCGTGTGTTTTGGGAGGCTGTGATATGTTAGTGTTTGTCTCCTTGTGATAGCGCGGAACTGATGCCGACTTTATAGTGCTACTTCAATGAAACATATTGCCGAAGACACCCAGCAGGACAACCAAATCACATGAAATACGTTTAAATCTCTATTTTTTCTACGATTGACTTTCTATGATGTTTTCATTGATATATTTAGTAACGAAAAAAAGAAAGAAATATTTATGCAGCATGTTTTATTTCTTCAGTTACTGACACGGTCCGTAATGTACTGCGTGGAGGCTGTGTCCATGGTGATGACAGACGCCCTTGGCGAATTCGCAGCTGCAAGAAAAGAAAGGACAGCTTAAGATTGCTATGCAGCATTACATGTTATACCTGCAATGTAAGAGAGATGCGCTTCCCTTTGCATTGTTAATAAGCATCGTTGAGGATTTCAAACATCTACTTTCTCCTGAAACTAGTTCGTTTCTGTTTAGGACACTACAGTTCCGGCTCATACAGAAAATATCAATAATTCTGCCTGTTGCACACGAAGTCAAGAAAGTGTTCACCAATCTTCAATGCCTGTCGAACAGCAGTCATATTGGAAATATATTTAAAAGTACGTTGGCTCATATTTGGCGAATGTTACTCATATCAAATTAGGCGTCTTTGCCTTACGTTTGTATTTTAATGAAAGCACCTTTCACGGACACCATTACCACCCTCATTTCTAATTCAAAAACCACGAGCTAACTTTTTTTAATGTTGAAAGCAAAGTGTAAGCATATAATCAAATCCTTTTGTTGTTACATTGTTTAACGGCCCATCGACAATGTGAGTCATTTAGGGCCAAACAACATTGTATTAAATAGACATTCACAAACTCGAATACATCAAACTAACGCATACACTTTCTCAATTTCAACCGTAACTTTCTGTCAAGGCAATTTTATATTTATTGCATATCAACTGTATTTCATAATCTTGTCATCATCGGTTATTTTCTCTTTCATTTGGAATAGACATAGACAAGGTCACATGAAGACGGCTGCGTAGGGAGACTCTACCGATACAAGTGATGGAAGGACACAGTAGATCAAGTTGTATCTGTCCATGTTCTCCGAGCAAAAGACACAGAGGAAAACCCCCTATTTGCAAAGGACTTCACACTGAGGTCATTCACAACTATTTTTCTCCTAAACATGTACATGGAACAAAATTAGGCAAATTGAACAAACTATTAAACGGATTATTTATGTCTATTTTACAACGATTTGCATGGATATTATTTACTCTTTTGTTTTCATAAAAAAGTGAAAAACACTACAAACACATAAACAAAATGAGAACGAGTGTCGATAAGTCACGTCTACACGCTGAAATATTAACACTATGATATAAAATGTTTGGTATAATCCTTACCTGTTTCTGTAGGTCTTATGGTCAGACGCTGAAACATTTACACCGTGATACTAGAACACTGACAGGTCAGTAAGGGCCCCGTCTTGTGGCAATATATCCCCCATAATCACCCAGAAGCAATCTGACCATATAGCTGATCTTGACGTTTGATATTTGGACTTCAAAAAGAATTGCAAGGAAGCAAAATATACATTTTACATGTACTATGACGTGAGTCTTGTTTCCTTCAACCTCCATATTTGCTGGGCTAACAGAAATGTAAATACTGGTGCAATGCTCATTTGTTGGCTTTGATTTGTTTTATTTCACCTTATAAACCTCCTCCACCAACAGCCAGGGTCAAAGTCAGAGATCCACATTGTCTTTGACCTTTGGACCCAAATGACCTTGACCATTAACCCAGTGACCCTGATCTTTGGTCAGTTGACTTATTCTTTCATTCCAACCAACTTTGCTTCTTAATATCATAACAAAATGTTCATCAGTGAAAAATATAAAACTTGACCTTGACCCTTTGGACCCCGTTACCTGGACCTAAGGTTAGTTGACTCTGTGTCAAGTTCTGAACAACATTGCTTCATAATGTCATAACAAAATGTTCATCAGGGAAAAGCTACAAAATTTAACCTTCACCTTTGACCCAGTGACCTTGACCTTTGGTCAATTGACTCATTGTTTAATTCTGAGCTACATTGCTACAAAGTGTCATAGCGAAATGTTAACCAGTGAAAAGATACAAAATTTAACCTTGACCTTTGACTCAATGACCTTGACCTTTGGTCAGTTGACTCCTTGTTGAATTCTGATCAACTTTGCTTCATCATGTCATAACAAAATGTTCATTAGTGAAAAGATACAAAATTTGACCTTGACCTTTGAATCTAATGACCTTGACCTGTGACCGTGACTTTTTATCTTAATGTGTATTTTTGTGAACTGAACAGTTTGACCAAGTTTCATGTACATCGGTAAATAAATACCAAAGTTATCAGCCAAGAACAAAATTTGTGGACGGACAGACAGACAGACAGACCGACAGACAGACAGACAGACAGACAGTGATTACTATAGGGCACCCGTATCTCCGATACGGGGCCCTAATAAAATGTTTGGTATAATCCTTACCTGTTACTGTAGGTCTTATGGTCAGACGCTTAAACATTAACACCCTGATATAAATGTTTGGTATAATCCTTACCTGTTTCTGTAGGTCTTATGGTCAGACGCTGAAACATTAACACCGTGATATAAAATGTTTGGTATAATCCTTACCTGTTTCTGTAGGTGTTATGGTCAGACGCACACACCACTTCATCCTCAAACATAGAACAATCCTTAGCCTCCACCGAATGGCATAGTTCGCTCCCTATCACTGGCGCCTCCGCCATAACAGCTGTCAACATAACCAAAGCCTTTAGGACTGATAATAACTGATGACTAGCTCTCTCAATTTACATAGCGATATTTATAAATTGAAAAGATAAAAACTTTTTGATGCTAAAGAAACTCTTAACTTCTTTTAACGCGGCAAATGAAACCGGTATAAAATCGACAAATTGTAGAACAATAATACCAAAATGGTTTGCAAAACTCCTAAATAGCAAACGATTGTGAAAATTACATTATCTTGTCAAGTTATTAATATGTTTCAATTCATAAGCTCACAGGTTAAAATCGATGCTTTACCTATGTGTAGGTTTGGGTTTATTTTATTGGATTACACGTCCTACTGACAGAAAGGTCATTTAATGACGTGCCTTCGTGTGTTAAATGTGTGCTTGAGACGACCTTTTGGTGTATGCCCCTCCCTGTGATAGCGCGGATTTGATGCTGAGTTAAGAGTGCTACGTCACTGAAAAATCCTGCCGATGGCACCCAGCAAATTATTCCACGTTTAGGGTATTGGCAATAATGTGTTTTCTTTTTTCTTTTATAGACTTTTGTTACTCTAATAAGTGGTCATATTAATTTACAATTGATACAACGTGATAAACTGAATGTTGACAGGTTTTTATAAATAGTAACACCGAGCCAATATTACAAATGTACGACCTCCACGTGATAATGTAATATATACAGGTACAGACGTTCCACTTGTTTGAAGTAATCCACAGTTATACAATATATATCTATATCGGTACAGATATTTGAGTGTTGTTTAAGTAACCCACAGTACTGCACTGTACATAAACATCTACGTTTGGGGTTAAAATCTCCAAGAGTAGTACAATGTATGTAGATTTTGATGTTTAGACTGATTCTTAATGGGAATAATATAACGAATCAATAATATTTAAGATTAAACGAATACATTAAAAACATATTCTAAACAAGAACATTAAGGTAGATATAACGCAGCTTAAGTAAATATTGTTACCTACCCAGAACCAGGCAAGATGCGATGAGTACCTTGAGCAACATATTGAGACAATGAGGTGTAAACACTGCTGACAATACAGAACTAGGACTAAGATAGCAGAAACGTGATCGTCTAGCACGCTTTATTCCTTATCTCTGAATGATACTTTGTCAGGGTATTTAGATATATAGGGCTACATATTTTCCTTTTGCTGTCACAAGCGTGTTGATTATTACCATGCATTCTGCTATTAGACAAACTTCATAACGGTTTGGTCTGGTTTAATTTTGTTTAACGTCCTATTAACAGCTAAGGTCATTTAAAGACGTGCCTCCATGTGTGTAGTGAAGGCGTGATTGTGTGTGTATGCAGGAGACAGTGTATGTTGGTGTGTTTGCCTCCTTTTGATAGCGCGGATCTGATGCCCACTTTATGGTGCTATCTCACTGAAATGCCATGCCGAAGGCACCCACCACAGCATTTCGCCCAGTCACATTATATTGGCTCTTGATAGATAAAGATTGATGTAATTTGAGTTATAGTATGATACTTCAAAATAACTATTATTTAGATCGAACTTCACACTAATACGACACAAGCATTTATGTATATAATTATATAATAGAACAAACGCTAAAACGTTGCACGCACCCGGTCCCTAGTTTCAAAAGACTTGTTAACTAAAACTTAAGTTTTCTTTGGTTTAGCGTCCTATCAGTACCTTTGATCATATAAAGGCTAATTTCGTGTGTTATGTATGTGTGCATGTGATGTCGACTTTAGAGGGCTGCCTCACTGAAATACCATGCCGCAGACAACCAGCACAGCATTCAATCCGGTCACATTATACTGACATCAGGTCAACCAGTTGTCATCAAAACCGTAATTCGATTTAATAATGGCAAAACGAAAATAAAAGGAAGACTTTCACAACGACCCTTAAAAAGATACAAAAAATATAACACCTAGCTTCCAGAAGGGTGTGCGTTTTATATTTCATTGACAACACCCGCCATATTACTTTAGGTCAAATCCAACCTGCCCTCAATAAAAAGAGGGTATTGAAAAAGACATCACAAGCGCGCTACTGAGCATGAGGAATACCAATGATCATTTTATACAAGGTTTGGTGTGGTTTTATTTTGTTTAACGTCCTATTAAAAGCAAATGTCATTTAAGGACGTATATCCATGTTTGCTGTGTATGCGTGCATGTGTGCCGGATACAGGGTGTATTGGTGTACTTGCATCCTTGTCATAGTCTGGATCTGATGCCGAATTTATAGTGCTATCTCACTGAAATACCATGCTAAAGGTCACATAATATTGACAACGGGTGAACCATGTGTTGCCATTACCCAAATGCTGACGATTTTTGCTAATAGCCTTAAAATTGGTAGCTGTACCAGACATTTTGAGGGGTTTCCACATGGATATAAATAGTATGTTTACGTTGATTGGCTCGCACGCAGTGATCGGTTACCTGCTGTGTGTGATGTCACCATTCGTAGAGGTACAAGTGGGCAAATTAATTGCAAACAAAATGTGATGGATAAATCAGAGAGATCCGAATGTTCATACAGGATTGTTGGACATTGTTCTGCTATTCAACGCACGGCGGCGCTGTTGTTTGGTTATGGTAGGAAATTGATTAAATCAGAGAGCTCCGAATTGGCATTTCAGGGTCATATTAAAACCAGAACCAGACGGAAAACTAGGACCAAGTGCTTCAATGTGTTTTTGTCATGTTTTTTAATGCAACTACCTTAATGAATGGATATGACATGAATAAAAATGTATTTTAGCACAAGTCTATATAAAAAATATACTTTGCATTATGATTTAAAACAGAAATCCAAAACATACCAAACATACCGGTCCTGACATAACCAGTCCTGGTTTTATCAAAAAAATGCAAAATCACAAAAGCCGTAATAACAAGTAAAAACAGTATTTAAAACATCTTTTTCTATTCATTCATTTAGTATAGTGTTCTTGTATTTCCTACATGAAATAAGCTTTAAATTGAGTTAAATCAATATTTAATCCCGGTTTTCCCTGTCTTGGTTTTAGTAATGATTGGTCCTGGCAGGATTTGGGTCACTTAATTAAAAAATATATATATATAAGTATTAATATGTTCTTTTAAATCATATAACAGAACATTTTCAAACTTTCACAATATCTTAAAAATTAAAAATAAAACAAGCTGGTCCTGACAATCCGGTCCTGGTATTAGTGTGACCTGCTATCTCACTTTTAAGTAGTACTACTACTAGCACGGAATTAGATTAGATTTGCTATCTAAGTCCGTGGTACTAGTCATTGGTTGCATGCTATTCATGTTATCGCTTTCTCATTGGATATTGATGCCCCTGCTAGGGCATTTGCACTAAATCACATATATATATATATTATGTAACAGGGTTTGTACAGGCATTGAAAAGGCCTGTCCCTCAACTGAGGAATAATCCTGCAGTTATGCGACATAACCTTGTTCACAACATGCGTAAGAGAAACTCCACAGTACCACCTGATCAACAGTTGTCCGCTTGTGGACGCACTGACCACCAAATTATATATATCTAAAATAGATTCTCAGCATAACTACGCGAGCGTCTGCATACCCATCTATTTCAAACTTTTCTACAACTGCTTACTAATAAATAATGTTGTTGGTAGCCCTCTTAGGTTTTTGGAAAGTGTCTTATTTTATCGATTTGAAGTTCCAGTTTTGTCCTGATGTGCTGTCTTATAAATTTTATTATAACTCATTCCGGTCCACCAATTTAAAATAATGACGTTGCCGTTCAGCTTTATCACCTCCCATCTAATCGGTAATATAATTTAAGGGTCGACGTGCCCATCGGTTCCGGTCAGTTATATCCTAGGTGATAACTGATAAAAATCCAAACCATGATATCAGGCCTGCTGTTGTGAATCCACAGATGGTCTTGTTATAGTTACCGATGAATTCATAGTAGCGGACATAAAAATATCTCCTCTTGTAAGATCTAACCACGTCACGACATGCGTAACCAGTTCTATAAACGGACCAGTTACTGAAGTACAGTTTGTAAACTAACTTGGGTTTGTCGCCGCTAGCCCATACCTTTCCGGAATTATCACAAAGCAGGTAATTCAACAAAGATAAACTTTCACTTAAGATTCTTGTCTTAAAATATGTACTTAAAGGTCGGTCATTCACCACTACACCTTGTACAAATGCGGCATGCATGCAGATAACACGGTACATGCAGCATGGAGTTTACAAGTACTACGTTGGCTGTTTGTGGTAAGTATTCCGAAATACTATCAAATTGTTTTAGTTAGTATACGTGTAAATGAAGGATAACATGACTTACTATAATTATAATTATTTGATTCTTAACGGCCCATCAACACAGAAGATGTCATTAGGGCCAATAAAAGTAGACAAAACATGTTAAAGGAAAACACATCAAGGTAAAAGACAAACGACAACTTGAATGAATTGTAAAAGTGGCTATGATTTAGTTACATATTTTTGAACAGACAAACAGTTTTTATGTAGGCTAGAATTGTAGATACCGACTTTTTCTAAAAGTGAGTTGAGATCTGTTATATTATTATAACAATTTTCTCCTGTTGGCTGAAGGTCAATGCAATCTAATAACAAGTGTTTTACACATATAACAATAATACATAATTCAAGTGCTTGTACACGAGTACTGATGTAAAAAAAAATGTTTTAAAAGTTTGTAGCTTCTTTTTATAAACCAGATGGAGCGGTGGTTTTATGTGGTCCTCTGAACAGGTTAGGTCATTTCGAAACGTTTGTCAAACGCCGCGAAGAAAGAGTTTGGAATTGAGAAATTATATAGATCTCAAGTGTCGTGATTGGGGCAGCAAATCAATATTGGTGTTCTTCGGTGTCTTCATGCAGAAGACACACGAAACAATCACCCGACTTTGCATGGTTATCCACTTTATTCCTTATTCACCCCTTACAAAGAAAGGGTTAAGTAGGGTTGAGAATTCCGTACAATTTGTTTTTTTGGGGTGTAATGTCCTCGCAACAGTTTAGGTCATATGAAGAGGCTAGGGAAACTCCACTGATGGTGTGGTTAACTACATATAACAAACTTCTTAACATGTTGAATTTTCTCTCTCGTTCAAGAACGAAAATTGGCGGAAACAAGAGGCCCAGAGAGCATGTATCGCTCACCTGAATATATGTTTAAAATAATTGGTATGAAGTAAAGATATAGCACTCCATGGTAGGTGCTGTAAGTACATATGAAATTTCAGAAAGATCCTTCCAGTACTTGAGATATAGCAAGAACAAACTTCAAACAGAGCCCCACCCCTATGCCTCTAGGGGGTCATACCCACCAATTATACAAAATTGAGTCCCCTTGACCCAAGGATGCTCCTATCTAAATTGGTTCCCCTTCACCCAAGGGTATCAAATACCAAATTTTCACAAAATCCTGCCATTGAAGAATTTGCTATGTTTCCCCTATTGGGCCCCTCCCTTCTGCCCCCAGGGGGGGGGGCACAATCGCTGTTTATAAGAAATTAGGTCCCTTTTGTCCAAGGATGCTCCAGACTAAATTAGGATAATATCCCCTAATCTAGGATTATAAAGGTTTTGCCTCTATTTCCCCTATTGGGCCCCGCCCCTCAGGTCCCAGGGGGCCACACCCACCGTTTATACAAAATTGATTCCCCTTTACACAAGGATGCTCCACACCAAATATGGACCAAATCCTTTCATTCCTACAGAAGAAGAAGGATTTTGAAGAAAATTTGCTATGTTTCCCCTATTAGGCTCCGCCCCTCAGGCCCCTAGGGGGCCAGACCCACGGTTTATACAAAATTGGTTTCCATTCACCCAAGGACGCTTCTTACCAAATTTGGAACAAATCCTTTCATTCCTACAGAAGAAAAAGGATGTTAAAGAATTTGCTATATTACCCCTATTGGGCCCCGCCCCTCAGCCCCGAGATGGGCCAGACCCACCATTTATACAAAATGTGTTCCCCTTCCCCCAAAGGATGCTTCTGACCAAATTTGGTCAAAATCTGCTCAGTCTTTCATGACTAGTAGCGTTTTAAAGGAAACGTTGACGGACGGACGACGGACGCTGCGGTATGGCATAAGC